AATTGGGTCATATATTGTGTTTTTTGTGTATTAAAATTATCTTTAGTGGGATTCTTTTTACAGAAAATATACATTTGACAAACAGCTGAGCTAATATCCTGTGACATAGAAAATGGGAACTACCACCATTATATTCTCCAGGGTCTCTGCTTCAGAAAACAAAATGTTTGTGTGTTTAATCTTCTGTTCTAAAATGTGAATGTAATCATGTGCATAAAAAAGCAAAATCAACTCAGCAAAACACACACCAGCAACAATGTATACAATTATCATCAAATCTATAGTAGCAACTAATGGCCTAAGAAGCAAAGCCACCATATTACTCAACCAAGTTCCAGCTAAACCCATCCAAGAAAATGGATCCCACTTCCCCCCACCCAGGTGACTGTTGGAACTCCTTTACCTTGTGTAGATATCCCCTTCTGAGATCCTCATGATCTAATATAAATGTACAACACTCTCTGACACCAGTTTGTAGGCTCCGCCTTGATCTTCTGAGAGATAGTCAGCCGCCATGCAGTTCTGTGACACCACCTTAGGTGATGGAGCCACTTCTGCTGTCGGCTCTGCTATACCATCAATGGTGTCATTGGTTATCTGATCATGACTCCAGTACACGGTTCATCTTACTTATCTTACATTACTTAGATTCCCCATCCCGTCTATGAAGGGCTCACTGCATAAAACATCTCCACTCCAGAGAAAATGTTTCTTCTCACTGGAAGGCCAGGGGAGTATTGGGAGAAATTGAGGCTTTCCCTTACAGATATGGGGGAGGGGCAACATCACCTAAAGTACAGCTATGGGTGGAATTGAAGGGAAGGCATTTTAGGGCGCTCCTTCCACACAAGAAGCAATGCATCTATAAGGACTAGTAATCCATTGGACCAATGGGGATTAAATATTCTGCAATACATTGAGACACCATGAAATGTTACTGGCCTGTGATTGGCTCTCCTATTGTTAGTGCAGTGAGACTCCCCTTGTCGGTGTCATTAATGGAAAGAAACCATGTGAAATGTTTCCCCCAAATCCAAAAGGTGACCCCCCCATGGGTAGGTAGCCATCCTACTATTCCTGATATGAGTTTGTAGTCCCTGCTACTACAGGAAACATGCGGGCGATCATTTACACCTTTTACAGCAGGACAGTAAATATCAGAACACAATTCAAACATCAGACCAACAGCAGGAAGTCTGCTAACTGAATGTGTAATGCAATCTGTCATTAGCATTCCCAGAGTTCCCTCTGCAACATAGTTGTATCAGCTGTTGGTCCTGTCTGTACATCTGTTATTTTCCCACCTTCTGTAACAGGGTGACAACCCTGATCATTCTGCAGGAACATTACACAGCAGCGTTGTCACCCTGTACAGGGAAGTCTTAGATAGATTACAGGCAGTCCCCGGGTTACGTACAAGATAGGGACTGTAGGTTTGTTCATAAGTCGAATTTGTTCATAAGTTGAATCAGGCACTTTTATAAGCACTAACTACTAACCAAACGACAGGATATTAGATTACGTTTTTGTAATAAGGTTACAGAAAGCAGTAAAACCTCAAGAGGCTCTAAACTGGTGTTTTGCATAAGAACTGCAGCTTGGACACATGTTTGCCTTAACATATTTAACTTTTATGTTTTACATTTTACATGCTCCATTATTCTACTCTTATCTTTTAAAATTGTTGAAATTGTTGACGGAGCATAACCATATGCTTTGCAAATGGATGATGATTTTTCACCACTCTCTGATCTCTTTATTATTTCTACTTTATCTTCCAAGGAGATTGTTTTTCTTTTCTTTGCTGTGCCAGCACTTGCATCAGCTTTTTGCTTTGGAGGCATTATTGCAGGGTAAAAATACACTGTACTGTAATGTACGTATGAGAGAACTCTGCTCTCCTTTACACAGCACACGCTGCCCCCTCCCCCCTGCACAGACGGAGGATCACTTCAGTGAGCAGCCTGACAGCCTCTCCTTTCCTCTCCCCGGAGGTGCAGACAGACAGTCTTAAATCACTTTGGAGATAGTGGGCAGACACTGCTAGCCCCACAAGTAACGAGCAATGGATGTCTCTGTCTCTTATGTCTCTCTGATGTCTCTTATCAGCTAGTCTCTTATCAGCTTGCTGCACAAGAATGCTGACAGCTTGACTTCCGGTCCCGAGGGAAGTGTACGTAAGTATGAGTATTACGTAAGCCGAATGTACTTAACTCGGGGACTGCCTGTATAAGTAAGACACACAACAAGTAAAGCCCAACTTCAGCTAACGCTTCTACAGCAGTTACAGCAACAGGTTCTCTATAAAGTCCAACCCCCCATATGAATGACAACTGACAGTTGTGAGCACCCCCAGCAGTGTTATAGGATTTGCCCCAACCCCTCCAACTGCCATTTTTCCCAAAAGACTTGGCCTTCTACAGGAAGTAGACAAAAAATATCTACTTGGAGGGACAAACAAAACATAAAATAATAGGAGACTCGAAAAAAACAAAGCCTGCTCTGCTAATGACAGATTTCATTATTAATGTCATTACTGATTTTGCCCATAGTTACACTTTGGTGCCAACGTTGTAATATTTCCAGGGAGAAGAAGTTTTCTTTACAAACTTTCCACCAAAAAGAGATGCGTGCACTCAGAGTGATTATTGTGAACCCCAATCAGAGGAATGTCAGTCCCCCGGAAGAAGTGGTAGGAATATGACCGCACACTCAGCACTTTGTAAGTTCAGATCTCTGGCAGTTGTATTGTGTGATTAGTCTATGGAGAGGAGTAATAGCTGGAAAGAGAAAACATGGAACAAGGATTTCTGATCTTCACCTGATGGAATCCCATTTGGCAGAACCACATGGAACACAAGTGGCCAGCTGGGCTTACGTTTTTTACTGCTGAATACATCCCCTAAATCAGCAGTAACTCAGTATTGGAAGGCCTGCATCAGCTTGGGATGTTGTTTTTTTCTCACTGAACAGAGACTTCTTTCTAGCTGGTGTCACAGCCGCAGACCTGCCTGAAAGGTTGTCACCCATGAGAGGATATCCTACAACCTCACAAACACCCCCTTTCCTCTCTCTGATCACAATCTCATCACCTTCAGTCTCCTCATCTTCAAACACCTATCCCTCCAATCAGCAATCACCTGCAGAAACCTTCACAACTTGAACCCTTCTCCTTTCCACTCTGCAACTGACCACCTCTATGACAGAATCTCTCCCCTGTCCTGCCCTGACCTGGCCACTGCTGTCTACAACAGTTCACTTTCATCCACATTAGACTCACTTGCTCCTCTAACATGAAGCATCAGGCCCCGCCCATTACAACCTTGGCAGACTGACCACACCACCAGATCTTAAACGACATAGTCGTGTGCTGGAGCGAATGTGGCGTAAAACCAAATCTCACCAAGCATTCACCCGATATAAATCTGCTTTCTTCACATACAATTCCTCCCTCCATGCTGCCAGACAAGCCCTACTTTGTCACTCTCATCAATAGCTTGTCATCCAGTCCTCGTTGTCTCTTCTCTACTTCTAACTCTCAGCTTTTCTCCACCTCCACCCAGTACCTCACTCACTGCTCACGAGTTTGCAAATCACTTCAAAAACAAGATTGATGCAATTCGTAGGGACATCTCCACTGCACAGACACATCCATCCCACTTAGCATACCTTATACTAAACCTCCCTCAACACTTTCCTCTTCTGACCTCGCTACTACCGAAGAGGTCACTAAGGTTCTCTCAGAAGCCCGTCTCACTACCTGCCCCCTGGATCCTGTCCCCTCACAACTACTACTACTACATACGGCCTCTTCTTCCATCCTATGCTTCCTCACTCACATCTTCAATCTCTCCCTCTCTACTGGTGCCTTCCCCTCCCCTCTAAAAGCATGCGCACATCACTCCCATACTTAAAAAACCCTCCCTGGACCCCACCAACCTTAACAACTTAAGACCCATCTCCCTGCTGCCATTTACCTCTAAACTATTACAACGCTTAGTCTACAATCGCCTGAGCTCCTCCCACCTCACCGACAACAACCTTCTCGACCCTTTATAGTCTAGCTTTCGCTCACTACACTCCACTGACACTGCCCTACTAAAACTCACACTAATGATCTACGAACTGCTAAAACCAATGGCCACTACTCCGTACTCATCCCAACCAATGGCCACTACTACTCCGTACTCATCCCAACCAACGGCCACTATTCCGTACTCATCCCAACCAATGGACACTACTCCTACTCATCCCAACCAATGGACACTACTCCGTACTCATCCCAACCAACGGCCCGTACTCATCCCAACCAACGGCCACTACTCCGTACTCATCCCAACCAACGGCCACTACTCCGTACTCCTCCCAACCAACGGCCACTACTCCGTACTCCTCCCAACCAACGGCCACTACTCCGTACTCCTCCCAACCAACGGCCACTACTCCGTACTCCTCCCAACCAATGGCCACTACTCCGTACTCCTCCCAACCAATGGCCACTACTACCGTACTCCATCCCAACCAATGGCCACTACTCTACGTACTCATACTCCATCCCAACCAATGGCCACTACTCCGTACTCATCCCAACCAATGGCCACTACTCCACTCATCCCGTACTCATCCCAACCAATGGCCACTACTCCGTACTCATCCCAACCAATGGCCACTACTCCGTACTCATCCCAACCAATGGCCACTATACCTACTTCCGTACTCATCCCAACCAATGGCCACTATTCCGTACTCCTCCCAACCAATGGCCACTACTCCGTACTCCTCCCAACCAATGGCCACTACTCCGTACTCCTCCCAACCAACGGCCACTACTCCGTACTCCTCCCAACCAACGGCCACTACTACTCCGTACTCATCCCAACCAACGGCCACTACTCCGTACTCATTCCAACCAACGGCCACTACTCCGTACTCATTCCAACCAACGTCCACTACTCCGTACTCATTCCAACCAACGTCCACTACTCCGTACTCATCCCAACCAACGGCCACTACTCCGTACTCATCCCAACCAATGGCCACTACTCCGTACTCATCCCAACCAACGGCCACTACTCCGTACTCATCCCAACCAACGGCCACTACTCCGTACTCATCCCAACCAATGGCCACTACTCAGTACTCTTACTACTTGACTTGACCTCTCTCTGCAGCTTTTGATACAGTTGACCATCCCCCCCTCCTCCTCAAAAAACTCAACTCTTTTTGGCCTCCAAGACTCTGCTCTCTCCTGGTTCTCCTCCTATCTATTGCAGCGCTCCATCAGCATTACCTATAACTCTGCCTCCTCCTCTTCACTCCCTCTTTCTGTAGGGGTCCCTCAAGGTTCTGTCCTTGGACCCCTACTCTTTTCCATCTACACCTCCTCCCTTTGTCACTTGATAAACTCCCATGGCTTTAAGTACCACCTCTATACTAATGACACACAAATCTATCTTTCTACCCCTTACCTCACCCTTTCAATCTCCTCCTCACCTCGCCCCTTCAGTCTCCTCTCTCGCATTACTAACCTACTAAGCAACATATCGGCATGGATGTCACTCCACTTCCTCAAACTCAATATTTCCAAAACTGAGCTCTTAGTATTCCCTCCAGCCTGTGCCCTCTTCCCTGACTTCTCCATCAAGATCAATAACACAATCATCAGTCCCTCCCCTCATGCCAGGGTACTAGGTGTAATCCTAGACTCCCATCTGTCCTTTCAGTCCCAAATCCAATCGCTGTCCAAATCTTGTAGACTTCACCTCCGCAACAGTTCCAAGATACGCCCGTTCTTAACCTCGGAAACCACTAAGCAACTTATTCACTCCCTTGTTATATGTCGCATATTGTAACTCCCTCCTCATTGGCCGACCACATTGCAGGCTATCCCCTCTTCAGTCTATCATGAATGCTGCTGCCAGACTCATCCACCTTAATAACCATTCTGTATCAGCCACCCCTCTCTGCCAAATCCCTCCACTGGCCTCCATTCAGTGTCCTCCACCCCTCTCTGCCAATCCCTTCACTGGTCTCCATTCAGTGTCCTCCACCCCCCTCTGTCAATCCCTCCAGTGGCCTCCATTCAGTGTCCTCCACCCCCCTCTGCCAATCCCTCCAGTGGCCTCCACTCAGTGTCCTCCACCCCTCTCTGCCAATCCCTCCACTGGCTTCCCATTGCCCAACAGATAAAATTCAAAACATTAAACAATAACATATAAAGTCATTTATAACTCTGCCCCAAATTACATCATCAATATTGTCTCCAAATATCACCCAAACCGTACTCTCGGCTCCTCGCACAACCTCCTGCTCTCTAGCTCCCTTGTCTCCTCCTCCCATGCTATTCTCCAGGACTTCTCCAGAGCTTCCCCCATCCTCTGGAATGCTCTACCCCAATTTATCAGACTATTGCCTACTCTGCTCATTTTTAGGCGATCTCTGAAAACCTCTCTCTTCAGGGAAGCCTATCCTGCCCTCAGCTAATAATGGAATCTTCTACTCTTCCAACCAATCCATCCCCCACAGTTACTACCTTTTGTACCACTAGCCCCTCCCTCCTAGATTGTAAGCTCTGAGGAGCAGGGCCCTCCTATCCCTCTTGTATTGAACTGTATTGTTGCTGTATTGTCTCCCATTATATTGTAAAGCGCTGAGCAAACTGTTGGCGCCATAAATCCTGTATAAAAATGATAATGAGAGGAGATGAAATGTGGAAAGAAGTCATTGATAATGGGAGAGGAGATGGAACAGGTAATGGGAGGAGTGGACAAGGTGGGCTTAGCTGGAGACCTCAAGCCTGGCTGATCATGTATCAATAGTCAGAATAACCTGGAATGGACTCTCCCACTGAGGCTTCAGAGACTTGGTAAGATGACAATAGACCCCATCCTAGTCTCTGGTACTGAGGCAGTGTTGGTCATGTATTAACTCAGGATCCAGAAAAGAAGAAAATGCTTGGAAACACAACTCAGTTGGTGTATCATGAAAATACATTACATGTTCATTCAAAGCTCCATGAAAAAAGATAAAGATGAGAATCATGAGGGAAGCTGTTCAGTTATTGATACTTATCTTAAAAAATTGTCAAAAGATAAAATATTCAAATCCCTTCTAGTTGTGTATTGATGGAGATAAGCACTAAACTCAGTTCATCCAATCATTACATTCCAGTTTGCTCAGATTTTAGTTTGTTTCTTTTAAGGTAACATTTTATCTTTTCCATTCTTCTCTAGCTTGTGGGATGACATTGGGGATGTGAAACTAACTTGTGACACCTGAAACTTTTTTAATATTCCTTTTCTTCCAGAATTTAATCTATGCTGAGATTTGTGAATCCTCCGGTGATAGATTAGACCGGCATTAACTGAAAAAGGTTTGTCACATTGAGAGCATTAAAATGGCTTCTCTCCAGTGTGAATCCTCTGGTGTGCGATAAGATGTGACTTCACTGTAAAAGCTTTATCACATTCAGAACACTGATATGACTTTCTCTCCAGTGTGACTCCTCTGGTGTCTGATAAGATTTGACTTCTCTCTGTAAAAGCTTTATCACATTCAGAACACTGATATGGCTTCTCTCCAGTGTGAATCCTCTGGTGTGTGATAAGATGTGACTTCTGTGTAAAAGCTTTATCACATTCAGAACACTGATATGGCTTCTCTCCAGTGTGAATCCTCTGGTGTGTGATAAGATTTGACTTCACTGTAAAAGCTTTATCACATTCAGAACACTGATATGACTTCTCTCCAGTGTGAACAATCTGGTGTGTGATAAGATGTGAATTCTGAGTAAAAGCTTTATCACATTCAGAACACTGATATGGCTTCTCTCCAGTGTGAACTCTTTGGTGTACTATAAGGTCTCTCTCGCTTGTAAAAGTTTTGTCACATTCAGAACAATGATATGACTTCCCTCCATTTTGAACCTTCTGGTGTTTGATATATTTTCTATCCATTGTAAAATCTCCAAACAAGAAGTAGTATGAAATGACTCTCTTATGTATATGTGGTTTTGGACTTTAGTGTAAAGTAATTGTCACTTCCAGAACACTGAAATTACTTTTCTCCTGTTGTCCTCTGAGGCTGGATCAATGTGGAAGAGGATCCAAACCATGACTTTTAGAACACAGATATGACTTGTGTCCCGTGTGAATCCTCCAGTGAGCTGCAGTAAAGACTTTCAGTCAATTAAGACATCCATATGTCTTGTTTTCCATGTGACTCAGCTGTATTCATGAAGACCAACATGACCGAAAACTTGGCTCATCAATCCACCTGTACAAAAAAAAAAAAAAAAAACATTAAATTTAAAATTCTATATAAAGGGCTACATAAAGTTGCTTTCTATTTTTAATGTTCATTACTAAATATATCTTATGAATAGAAAGAATATGTACAGCATTATCTACAGTATTTTTTTCATCAAATAGATTTTATTAAGAAAGTTTCTAAGTGCGCACAGTATTCCCAACATTCAGCCCAGACAATGGAGTCATACATTCTCACGTATAGGCAGTTGTGGCACTGTTACAGATCATACAGAACAATAACTTGCTTTGTCTATGGTGTCACTTTTACATTTTATAAACAAATGAACAGAGAAAAGAAGAAAAGAACCTAGAACAATTCAGCTGTACACGGCAAGTAACTCCCCCCAGTACATACATAGATAGCTGACACCGATCAATGAGGCCCGTGTCTCCAGGATCATACCCCAAGTATGGGTCAACCATGTAGTTACCATTCAGTAGGATACAACTGGCCGTTCTCCTTCTATGGGATAAAAGAGCTAAGATTTTAAAAGCCTATGAAGACCCCGAGGAATATTGAACACCAACATTACAATACTCGTCATATTGTTCCACTTTTTGAATAATTTTGGACATTTCCAAAGCGTGTATCAAATCCCCGACATCAACACTACAATTGGGGTCATAAGGGGAAATCCCTCCTGTCCTAGCTGAACAATTGAGCTGGAGCCTGAAAACTCTATGCAAAAGAAATGACTGAGTGTCTGTGAAGAGGACAGAGAGATGAGAGGTATGGAGGTCACAATCACCTCCCACCACTCTCTCTTATTTTCTCTGTTTCCCATTTCTTTCTATAAGTCTTCGGTAAGAGTCAAAAGACGGGAATAAATAGATGAGAGATCATGCCTTTCCCACTGGTGTCATCTGAAGCTCATTAACAAGTGTGAGAGTGATGTGAAATCTGTATCTGATGGAAGTAGTAACCGATGGATGGGATCTAATGTGTCTACTAAGTCCCACCTGGTAAGATGTTGAAGTTGGGCAGCTATAATTAGAGATGAGCGAATTATTCAAAAATTCGATTCGACTGATTCGGCGAATTCGTGAAAAAATTTTGATTCGAGTCGAATATATTCGCTGCGAATTTAACTTATAAAAGGGTGTTTCTAGGCTTCAGAGAGCCTTTATATTAGTGCAGAACACTGTACCTTTAATTTAAATGCCCTTGGAGTCTGCTGGGGAAGAGAAATAATACTGTCAGTCAGTATGACATGCAGATGAGTGCCGTTGATCTTAGAATCACCGCACACTTCACTCATTTGGGCAGTCACGGGTCCAAAACCAGAGTGTGGAGCCACAGTGTGGCGGTGGAGGCAGCAGCAATGGGAGGCCATACAGCACCCTATGACAAAATGGAACCCACCAGCAGTGTGAGGAGACCTGAAAGTGGCACATGGCAGAGTGTGGTGATGGAGACAGCAGCAATGGGAGGCCGTACAGGGACCCATGACACACTCTGGACCTGGCAGCAGCATGAGGAGGCGGTACAGGGGCCCATGACAGATTACGGGCCTGGCAGCAGCATGAGGGAGTCGGTACGTGGGCCCATGGCAGATTACGGGCCTGGCAGCAGCAATGGGAGGCCGTACAGGGACCCATGACACACTCTGGACATGGCAGCAGCATGAGGAGGTGGTACAGGGGCCCATGACAGATTACGGGCCTGGCAGCAGCATGAGGAGTCGGTACGGGGGCCCATGACACACTCTGGACCTGGCAGCAGCAGGAGGAGGCGGTACAGGGCGCATGACAGATTACGGGCCTGGCAGCAGCAACTTGGACAGGAGGACGTTCAGCTTCTGCACCGTCGGGTGCGTGCTCGCAAACTGGTCTCTTGGAAACGGATTCCAAGAAAGACTGCTGACGGAATCCGTGAAGAGGAGTAGCAGGAGAAGAAGCATCTGAACGAGTGGAATATGCCAACAAGCGACAACAGGGGCCCATGACAGATTACGGGCCTGGCAGCAGCATGAGGAGTCGGTACGGGGGCCCATGGCAGATTACGGGCCTGGCAGCAGCAATGGGAGGCCATACAGCACCCTATGACAAAATGGAACACACCAGCAGTGTGAGGAGACCTGAAAGTGGCACATGGCAGAGTGTGGCGATGGAGACAGCAGCAATGGGAGGAGGTACAGGGACCCATGAGACACTGTGGACCTGGCAGCAGCATGGCAGCAGCATGAGGAGGCGGTACAGGGGCCCATGGCAGATTAGGGGCCTGGCAGCAGCAATGGGAGATGCCCGTAATCTGCCAGCATCCTATGACAAAATGGAACACACCAGCAGTGTGAGGAGACCTGAAAGATGGCAAAATAGGGCATGACACACTGTGGACCTGGCAGCAGCATGAGGAGATTAGGGGCCTGGCAGGTACGGGGGCCATGGCATGGCAGATTAGCAGCAATGGGAGGCCGTACAGGGACCCCTGGCAGCAGCAATGGGCGGTACGCCCGTAATCTGCAGCAGCAGACGCCCTATGACAAAATGGAACCCAGAAGCAGTGTGAGGAGACCTGAAAGTGGCACATGGCAGAGTGTGGCGATGGAGACAGCAGCAATGGGAGGCCGTACAGGGACCCATGAGACACTGTGGACCTGGCAGCAGCATGAGGAGGCGGTACGGGGGCCCATGGCAGATTACAGGCCTGGCAGCAGCAATGGGAGACGCCCGTAATCTGCCAGCAACCTATGACAAAATGGAACCCAGCAGGAGTGTGAGGAGACCTGAAAGTGGCACATGGCAGAGTGTGGCGATGGAGACAGCAGCAATGGGAGGCCGTACAGGGACCCATGAGACACTGTGGACCTGGCAGCAGCATGAGGAGGCGGTACAGGGGCCCATGGCAGATTACAGGCCTGGCAGCAGCAATGGGAGACGCCCGTAATCTGCCAGCAACCTATGACAAAATGGAACCCAGAAGCAGTGTGAGGAGACCTGAAAGTGGCACATGGCAGGGGCATGATTCATGGCGGATTTAGTCAGTTGTGTCAGGAACTGGTGGTTTGAAATCCAGACTAATCCACGCCTGATTCATTTTCACAAACGTGAGTCTCTCCACACTTTGGGTGGACAGTCGTGTCCTCTGCGGAGTTACAATACCTCCTGCCGCACTAAACACGCGCTCCGATGCCACGCTACTGGCCGGGCATGACAGCCCTTCAAGGGCAAATTCAGCTAGTTGGGGCCAAAGGTCAAGTTTCGTTGCCCAGTAGTCAAGGGGATTGTCTACCTCGGTTGGCAGGGTGCTGTCCAAGTAGGCCCAAGCCTGTTGTTTGAGCTCCTGCTCCAGGTCCACCTGATGCTGCTGCTGCTGCTGCGGCTGGTTAGTAGTTTCCTCACTGCGCTGGTGAAGAAAGCTACTCATCATCGACTGCAGACTGAGGCAGCCGCTGCTGGTGGAGCTGCCACTTGCTCCTATCACCCCACCCCTCCCCTGCTGCCATGGCAGCGGAACGAAAGCGCACAGGGCCCACAGTGTCTGAGGATGGACGTTGGCGCAGAAAGGCAGAGACCAACTGGCTACATAGGTGGTTTTTATAGTACGTTATTTTGGCCTCCCTCTCAGCAGGTGTGAAAAAGGCCACCATTTTGGAACGGTAGCGAGGGTCCAACAAGGTGGACAGCCAAAAGTCATCCCTCTGTCTGATGGTTATTATTCGGCTGTCGCTACGCAAGCAACCGAGCATGCTATGGGCCATTTGTGCCAAGGAATGCGAGGGACTCCCTGCCTCCATCTTCACAGCATACTGCCACGGTGCGTCTGGGTCCTCTGTCTCCTCCTCCTCCTCCTTTACCAGATGCTCCTGCTCCTCCACTCCTGTCCACTGAGTGGAAAAACCACCCATTTCACTCAATAATTCCTGAGCACCAATGTCCTCCTCTACCTCCTCCTCTTCTTCCGGTCCTGCCCCCACAGGGGTCATGTGGTGTTGAGATCTGTGCGCCACGTCTACCGCACCCTGACCAGCCATTGTTAACAGCATTTGTTCCAGGACGTGCAACAGAGGAATGACGTCATTCATCCCATAGTCCTGCCGACTCACGAATAGCGTGGCCTCCTCAAAGGTCCTGAGCAAGCGGCAGGTGTCACGCATGAGCTGCCAATGGCTGACATCGAAGTTACACAGGGGAGTACTTTTATCCGCTTGTAACATCAGGAAATCGGTGATGGCCTTTTGCTGTTCGTAAAGGCGGTCTAACATGTGTAGGGTTGAATTCCACCTTGTTGCAACGTCGCAGATCAGGCGATGCTGTGGAATTCCGTTCTGCCGCTGCAGCTCAATGAGGGTGTTCTTTGCGGTGTAGGAATGGCTGAAATGCATGCAAAGTTTACGTGACATTTTAAGGATGTCTTGCAGTGGGATGGTGGATTTTAGGAACTGCTTGACAACCAGATTGAACACGTGAGCCATGCATGGCGCATGGCACAACCTTCCTTGACGCAGAGCAGACACCATGTTCTTTCCGTTGTCGGTCAACATGGTTCCGATTTTCAGTTTGCGCGGAGACAGCCATCTGTCGATTTCTCTGTTCATTACACTCAGAAGTTCCTCCCCTGTGTGACTACGTTCGCCAAGGCATACCAGGTGCAGCACAGCGTGACACCGTTGCGCCCTGCACATGTGATATGCCGGTCGGGTAATGGGACTTGGCACGGGGGTGGCGGCTGAGGACACGGCGGAAGAAGAGGTGGTAGAGGCGGACATCTTTGCTGGACCAAGGACGTGCAAACGTGGAGGCAAAAGCGGCGTGACCTGTCCAAGTTGCTGGTGCGGCTGTGCCGGCACCACGTTCACCCAGTGGGCCGTAAATGACATGTACTGTCCCTGACCGTAGTTACAGCTCCACACGTCGGCGCTGCCGTGCACTTTGGCAGAGACCGACATGCTCAAAGACTGGCCCACCATCTCTTCTACATGTGAATGCAGGGCTGGCACTGCCTTTTTGGCGAAGAAATGCCGGCTTGGCACTCTCCACCGCGGCGCGGCACAAGCCATCATTTCTCGGAAAGGTGCCGAGTCCACCACTTGGAAAGGGAGGGACTGCAGCACCAGCAACTTGGACAGGAGGACATTCAGCTTTTGCACCGTCGGGTGCGTGCTCGCAAACTGTTGTCTCTTGGAAACGGATTCCAAGAAAGACTGCTGACGGAATCCGAGAAGAGGAGTAGCAGGAGAAGGAGCATCTGAACGAGTGGAAGATGCCAACGAGTGACAACTCCCCTCAGCAGAGGTGTTGGAGCCTTGACTGGCTGATAGAGGGCGATTGACGTCGGGTGACGGAGCAAGTAACGGAGCGGGTAATGGAGCGGGGGCTGGGGCAGGCAGAACCGCCATATCTTTATCACGGTTTTCCCAGGCCACCAAATGGCGGCGCTGCATATGCTGACGCAACGCTGCAGTCCCAACATGGGCCCCCTGGCCACGCTTGACTTTCTGGCCACATAGTCGACATACGGCTACGTTTACTTCCTCGGGCGGCTTGAGGAAAAATTGCCACACCGCCGAGTAGGAAACTTTGCCCCCGCTACTCCTCACTGGCTGACTGCTACTTCCTCCGTGCATACCGGCACCACTACTGGCCGTGGTGGTAGGCTGCAGTGGAGCTGGTGCTCTACTCCGTGGCCGTTTGCCTCCACTGACACTGCTGCTACCCTGCTGCCTCCTGGGCAACCCACCGACTGTTTTGCTCGCTGCCAAGCTGGCACCCTCTTCTCCTGATGATGCGGAAGCAATAGCCTGATGACGACGAGGCTGCCAAGTGCGATCAGCCTCATCATCATCAATTAGGGTCTCCGCCTCACTACTAGCCCCCTCGGCTGCGTCTGGGTCAGGAGACAGACCTGTCTCTAGACCGGCTACCAAGCCACTCTCCTCGCCAGTACTTCTTCGCCTGGCTGCTGAAGAGGCGGATGTCTCCCCCCGTTCCTGACCGCCCTCTGTTAGCTCTTCCTCACTGTACAGTGGGGGGGCTGACTTATCTGTAAAAGCTTTATCACATTCATAACAATGATATGGCTTCTCTCCATTGTGAACCTTCTGGTGTGTGATATATTTTCTCTCCATTGTAAAATCTCCAAATAAGAAGTAGTTTGAAATGACTTCTCTTATGTATATTTGGGTTGGACTTTATTGTAAAGCCATTGTCACTTCCAGAACACTGAAATTACTTTTCTCCTGCTGGATCAATGTGGAAGAGGATCCAAACCATGACTTTTAGAACACAGATAGGACTTGTATCCCGTGTGAATCCTCCAGTGAACTGCAATAAAGACTTTCAGTCAATTAAGACATCCATATGTCTTGTTTTCCATGTGACTTAGCTGTATACATGAAAACCAACATGACCGAAAACTTGGTTCATCAATCCACCTGTACAAAAAAAAATAATAATAATTTTATATAAAGGGCTACATAAAGTCGCTTTCTATTTTTAATGTTCATTACTAAATATATCTTATAAATAGAAAGAATATGTACAGCATTATCTACAGTATTTTTTTTAATCAAATAGATTTTATTTAGAAAGTTTCTAAGTACAGATCATACAGAACAATAACTTGCTTTGTCTATGGTGTCACTTTTACCTTTTATAAACAAATGAACAGAGAAAAGAACAAACAACCTAGAACAATTCAACTGTACACGGCAAGTAACCCCCCCAGTACATACAGTTGTGTTCAAAATAATAGCAGTGTGTTGAAAAAAGTGAATAAAGCTGAAAATCCTTCTAATAGCTTTTACTTCCATCCACACAAATGCATTGGGAACACGACACATTCTATTCCAAATCACAACATGAAGAAAATACATCAAATTTGTGTTGTTCCTCTAAAAAAAATGGAAGAAAAAAAAGTGAATATTAGACGGTTCAAAAAAAAATGGCCGTGTTTGTATTTCTTTACAAACTCAAACATTCACTATATAAACTGAGAAATGTTTGAAGATTTTGCTTTCCTTTGAATGACTTCATGAATATTTGGTTGTAGTCGCACTGTTTCTGAGAACTGCTGTACATCTGTGTTGCATGGAGTCCCCCAACTTCTGGCCCCTGTGATCAGGTATTCCAGCCCAGGATGATTGGACCACATTCCACAGTTCTTCTCTATTTCTTGGTTTGGCCTCAGAAACTGCATTTTTGATGTCACCCCACAAGTTTTCTATTGGATGAAGATCCGGGGATTGGGCTGGCCACTCCATAACGTCCATCTTGTTGGTCTGGATCCAAGATGTTGCACGTTTACTGGTGTGTTTGGGGTCGTTGTCTTGTTGGAACACCCATTTCAAGGGCATTTCCTCTTCAGCATAAGGCAGCATGACCTCTTCAAGTATTCTGATGTATTCAAACTGATCCATGATCCCTGGTATGCGATAAATAGGCCCCACACCGTAGTATGAGCAACATCCCCATATCATGATGCTTGCACCACCATGCTTCACGGTCTTCACAGTGTACTGTGGCTTGAATTCAGTGTTTGGGGGTCGTCTGACAAACTGTCTCCGCCCACTAGACCCAAAAAGAACAATCTTACTTTCATCAGTCCACAAAATGTTGCCCCATTTCTCTTTAGGCCGGTCAATGTGCTCTTTGGCAGATTGTAACCTCTTCAGCACGTCTTTTTCCCAACATTGGGACTTTGCGGGGACTTCTTGCAGATAGCTTGGCTGCACATCGGCGTCTTCTAATTGTAACAGTCCTCACAGGGAACGTCACACCTTCTTTCATCTTCCTGGAGCTGATTGTTGGCTGAGTCCTCACAGGGAAAGTCACACCTTCTTTCATCTTCCTGGAGCTGATTGTTGGCTGAGT